CACAAATTACAACCCAACAGCCAGCATGCATTATACAGAACATAATGTTTACAAACCATGGCCTTCGGCCTCACCAATCAAACCCTAACAGGGCAATAACAGAGCATATCTAACAGAATTCAAGATTTACAATGGAAACGAAGTTTAACAGAAATGAAACCAACTTATCCTACAGAAGCTCGAGATTCAGTACTCAAGGCTCGGCTTGGCTGCTCAACACAGTCAATTACTGTCTGTGGGGCACAAAACAGAAAATTGTGAGTGGACAAAATAAAGTTTAGTTCCAATTAAATCAAAGTAATATAACCCCACCGTTTAGAAAACCATGCATGAAACCAATGCATTAAAAACCATCATATTCATAATTATATGAAGTATGCTCAAATCAGAGCTAAATTCGAAATCCATAGTGATACTTACAAAATCAACCCATCCAAACCTTCCCTTATAAAACTCAAATCAAACTTTCGAAATGCGTGCCCCGTGGCACGACGAGCGAAGAAGTATCCTCACTAAGAAACAAAAACGAAAGAGTAGCTATATATGTATAGATATGTAACTATGTATATAATATAAGAGATATAATATATATGTATATGACACACCTAGTTGTACCAGGGAAACAATCCAACTGGGGATTGTTGACTAGCTCACAAGTCTCCGTCCTTAAATGACCATGTGGCTAGGGACAAGCCGTCCAACTAGGGGACTAACTCTCAGCCAGCATGTACGGACGAAGAATCAAGACCTGTACGCCTGAAACAGCCCTACGCACGCAGACTACCCAATTAAGGGTCTACAGCGACACCCCGTTAAGGTATGCCCCGGGTCCAGACATTTCCAAGTATCTCACATTTCCATAATCAAGTTCCATTCCAAGGGAGATACACAGGGTAGTGCTTATAGCACTTCAACCCGACATTCTAAATCTCACCACTTTCCACATCTCATAACAATATCCCAGTACTCCCCACACATACACCACAAGATAGATAGCCATTTCTCAAATATCACTTATATATGCTCAAGATACTTAAATATGTCAAAACCCAATTATATCACAAATACTTTACCCAAAAATAATGGTTTCAACTATAAAGTATAAGGTGAATTTCAATAAACCCTTTAAATTCTTAAGCATAGAAATTCCATAATGAAATCATGCTTTTATTTGAAAACAAAGTCCACTCACAAGTAGTCCCATGCTACATGACCCTGAGAGGGTCCCGCCTGCTATGTATGCAGAGTCGGATTACCTATTTCAGAATACGAGCATGACATTAAAATCAAACTCTTCGAACGAGAACTTTAAATTAAAAATTCTAATTTCTCAGGTTTCAAGTAAGCATGAGGAACGACACATTCCTAAGGTCCAACTAAGGGTTTCGGTTCTGGAATAGTCTCGGAAGACGCTCAGTCATTCGGGCGGTCAAACTTTCCAAATTGGTCAACCTGGTCCACGGGACCCACGAAGTCAGTTTTACGATCCGGAAGTTCCTAAGAGTTCCACAAGGTCTAGGATATACGTCTTTCAAGTTTATTCCAGATCGGACGGTTGGATAGCTCACGATCGGACGATTACCGTAAAACATAAACTTTAAATTTTGAATCGGAACATCCGGGGCTTCGATTCACGATCCGCAAAAACCTACACGATCCTAGGAATACAGGGAACAACATACGTGAATTTGAGTTTGATCCAACGGTCCAAACATATCAAACCTGGAAATCACACAATATGCAAAATCCGTTCGGGGCTCAAATGATATTCGAATTGAGATCCAAGCATGCGTACACGGTCGTGACAACACAAGGGTCATTTTAGGATAAAATGTGACCCCACCATACTACTCACGCGCTGCCGGCGCGTGGGTGGCTTGACCAAATTTTGGCGGTCGGAAAAACTTGAAACCGCAAGGCAAGCTTCCTACCCTAGCTAAAAGACACTATTTGGAGCCACTTTTGTTCTTGGACCTACACTAAAAAGTCGACGGAAGTGGCCGGAATTTCAATTTGAAAATCGGCCAAACTTAGGTTTCAAAATCAAGTTACTAAATCTAGAAATCAACCAAATCCTACCCAAGGAATTAAATTTCGATATTATATCGGGACCGATATTTTCGTTCAAATTCAATCTGAAGTGGTCAATATATCGCAATATGAACTTTCAAAAATTAAAGAAAACTTACTTCACGCATGCTGGGGTTCAAACCCCTTCCCAATTCGAAGATCTGCAGCCACTCAACCACCACGCCAGTCATCACTTTGTGATAATAAGCTATGGAATCTGTATTTATAATACTTGCGAGCTGTTTCTCAAAATAGAAATTAACATAATTACTTATTGTTTTATTTTGTTGTTCAGTTACTTAATTACTTAATATAATTTATTTCTTTTCTATTTAATCCATTTAATGTTCTTGATTATTTTATTATTCATTATAAGTACTTACATTACTAAATTCCCCTTCAAATTGTTGCTTAATTACTTAAATCTCTATAATTATTTTCTTTATTTACTATTTAATTCTTCCTTGGATAAATTTATTTATGTTCTTAGTTAATTTTCAATCTTCACTATTATTTTTTAAGCATGGTAAAGTCCCTAATTTTCATGAAGAATCAAGTTGGTTTACATCTTTAATTATTTTTCAATTTTTTATAAATAATAAATATAAGAACATGTACCATGTCTAATGACGTTTGTGAAATAAGGTTACTCATGTATCTTACAATGCAATTTATAAAGTATAAAATATTGTACTAAAAAATTACTAGGAGGTGTTTAATTCTCTTTCATTAATTACTCCAAATTTTCTAAGTCACAGAGTTTGTCAGCTTGCAATATAATCAACTTAAATCACTCAAACCCGCTATGATATGCATTTCCTTCCAATTTTGTGTGTCAAAATAATAGATGATTTGCTAAATAAACTTCTTCTAAAGTTACATTAAAAATTTCCATGTATTTATCACAATTTTCGTGGTTTTTATTCAATTTTTATCGATATCGATATTTTCCCGATATTTTCGTGTTTTTGAACCACCGATATTTCCGAAACTATTGATATTTAAGACCTTGATCCTACCCAACAGGCAGCTAGAACATGAAGAGTAGATGAATTTCCATACCTTGCTCGTCAGAAACGGTGGCCGGAGGACGGAGATCGAAGGACTGAAAATTCAACTGAAAACCGGGTGGTTTTTGGCAATTTCCGGCAAGTTCCGTGGATGGTGATGGCTGAGGTTGGTCGGGAATTGAGGGGGGTGGATAGGCGGTTCGTTCTTGGCCAGTCTCACAGTTGGTGGTGGGATGTGGCGGCGGCGACAGCTCTTGGAAGCTGCCGGCTGTGCTGAAAAACGAAGGGGGATGGGGTTCTGTCGTGGGGTGGAGAGAGAGAGAGAGAGAGATATGGGGTGCTGTCGTGGGGTGGAGAGAGAGAGAGAGAGGGAGAGAGAGAGAGAGAGAGAGAGAGAGAGAGAGAGAAAAGTGAGGGTTTCTGTTTTTTATTAAAATCAAACTTCAAAAATATTACGATTGTGCCACTGAGGGTTTTTATCTCGTATCTTTCTCGTTATAATTCCCATTCAAGCCCACCGCACGTCTACGAACTCGTCTCGGTACGACCTGCCCCAAAATCTTCTCGTACAAAAATGACCATTTTGCCCCCACCCGAGGGCAAAATTGTAACTTCACTTTTTATAAAATTAAATAAATTAACGGAAGGTTATATTTTGGGTCGGGATGTTACAATTTTGGCTGTTGCTATTTTTCTGGAAATAAATATGGCACTACATAAAAAGAAGGCAACAAGTCTGCTCCAGCTACTTTTCAATGTTAGGAGGAATTTAATGAAGTTGGATTGAATTTGGGTTGTAATATATATTTGGATTGAATTTGGGTTATAATTTATTTTGGAACTTATTTTGCTGAAGTTGGATTCAATTTGGGTTGTAATTTATATGTTGCTGAAGTTGGATTCAATTTGGATTGTAATTTATATTTTGCTGAAGTTGGATTCATTTTGAAGTGTTAAAAGCTTGTTGGAAGTTCAAATTTGGGGTAGGTCAGTAATATAATAACATTTTGGGCAGGTCTGTAAAAGATTATATAATAAAATTTTGGGCAAGAACCAAACCGAAACCGGATAGGTCTGGGTTGGTTCGGATTTACCTATGAATTTTTGGCAAAATTGGTTCAAATCGAACCGGTCTTCATTTTCGGTTCAGGTTCCATTTTTTTGAGAAAACCAGTCCAAACCCGACCGTGCCCAACCCTAGAGAGTACTATGAATATTGTAAAGAATTGGTTACGCAACCAAATGGGGAATTTATGGATGTTGATTGTTTGGTTGCATATATTGAGAAAGATAGTTTTATAATATAGATGATGAGGTTGTTATGCAACGATGTCAAAAAATGAAAATTCGTCAAGGACAATTATGATGCTAATGAATAGGCAGTATATAATTTTCGATGTTTTGTTATGTCTTGTGAATTCAAATTTGTTATTGTTTATATTTTGTGAGAGGCCCCCACAAACATGAAATCTTGGCTTACAATTTTCTTGAAAAGTTGAGGTATTTGTTGGTGGTCTCAGTTCCTTCGTCATCCGATAACACAAAGTAATGAAGCATATGCTTAACAAATATGCTGAATGAAAAATAAGTTTCTGTTTGGAGACTTTGTATTTCATTAATAATTTTCCTCTTCCACTGCGACAAGTATTGGAGTGGCAGTGGAAGAGGTGGCTTATTTTTTCCAACAATTAAATATTTGTCACAACAAACCTACGCGTCGGCATAAGTAAAATTCGAAAAATTCATGGTTCTCTCTCTCTAAAGTGGTGGAATACTTTGTTCATGCTTGAAAAATTCCTGAGGATCAACCATTGTTTTTACTTGTACCAATCTATCAAAGTTATATTTAAAATACTTCCACAAAGTCTAGCCTTACGAAAGTTTGTGTGGTTGCGCAGGTTGGTACCAATGTCGAGATCCCTATAGTTTTGCAAATTTGTGTGGGTTCTTAGAGACAAAAGGAGCCATTCTTTTATACAATTTTCTCGACAATTTAATATAGTGATTGGTGGTCTTAATCCCTTCTTCCATCCAAGATATAAAGTACTGAACCGAATATAGGTTTCCAGCTCTATGAGGGAATGGAGTTGCTGACTCAGAAATCTCACTCATCCTTCCACCGTAGGGGTTCAATTGCATCCACACTTTCTCTATCTTAATCAGCTTCTTCCATATGGATTTGAAACCATGTTTTGGAATTGGTTCTTTCACGTAGTCAGACTTGCTCTTGAAGAAGATTGCTGGCGCCTTTGGCCTAGAAAGTAGAACATCTATTGGAGTTCCAATTGGGCAAGCAGCCATGAACACAGTGGATTCTATCCAACTCATTTCAAAGCAATCTTTTTGTTGTAAACCCAATTCAGGGAAGCGCTCATTTACCAATGGAACAAGCTTGTCACTTTGTCCCAAAAACTGACCAGTGAATAATACTTGCACTGTCCTCTTCCCCTCTTGGCTACTATTCTTGACTTGTATACCTACTCTAATGAAGATGTCTTCAGGGAGCTTAGGTGCAACGAATTGCCATTGATGGAGCACATCGGTAGCGCCTTCTTCCAACGTCCTTCTAACATTGAACATGGTCACTTTAGGTGGAACTCGAATCAACTTGATCTTCCATGAAAGAATGACTCCAAAGCTGGCTCCACCACCACCTCTAATGGCCCAAAAAAGATCTTCTCCCATTGTATTTCTATCAAGGATTCTACCATTCACATTCACTAGTTTAGCATCTTCAACGTTATCCACTGTAAGACCATATTTTCTCATAAGTGGACCATACCCACCACCACTAAAGTGGCCACCAATACCAACACTTGGACAAGATCCAGCTGCAAACCCATGAACCTTACTTTTCTGTCCAATTGCATAGTAAAGTTCACCAATAGTAGCCCCAGCTTGAACCCAAGCACTCTCATCTTCAAGATTCATATCAACGGATTGAAGATTGAACATGTCAAGAACAACAAAGGGAAGATCCGATACGTATGATAAGCCCTCATAATCATGGCCACCACTTCGGATTCTAATTTGCAACCCGTGTCGTTTTGCGCAAATGACGGTTGCTTGGACTTGGGATTCATGCGTGGGTGCTACAATAGCCAAAGGTTTTGGAGTTGTAGGTGTAAAGTATCTGCGGTTTTTAATGAGTGATAACAACACATGGGGAAATGAGGTGTTTTGAGGGGTGTAAATTGGAGGGTTGGACTGAGATGTTTCTCCAAGGCATTGAATGAAGTCATTGAGAACTTGTTGAGATTTTTTGGGAAGAAATTTGAGGGAGTCATTGAAAGCACTTGTCCATGATGTTGGTATCGTCTTTATTGGTGGATCAAGACTAGCACAGAAAGGAATGACAGAATGAACCGTACTGCAGAGCAAGAGGAATGAAACAATGAAGGGTATTATTGCAGGGCTTGGTTCCTTCATCGTTTTTAGAATTTCTGCAACTCCAATATATTTTGATCTCAATCAACAACAATTGCTCCTATGGAGTAAGCTTTATTCAGAATAATAAAACCAGAATTAATTAGTCCAGAACTTGCAACGTTAAAATTAATTGGTTGGAAACTTGCAACATCATAATTAACTCATCGGTTGAAGAACAAAGAAAACAGGTTCAGGGATATTGAGAAATTGCAACGTAATAATATATATACATATTCAAGCAACTTATATGTGCATAAAATTAGCTAGGGTGTTTTATATTCACTACTACTTTTACCCTTTTGCGCGACGGAGAATAATTAGTCGCGCAACGAACAATCGAGTCGCTATTGTATTTGCGCGACTTATATTCAAGCAACTTATATGTGCATAAAATTAGCTAGGGTGTTTTATATTGGAGAATCAGTGTGTAAGTACCACAATTCCTTCCCAGTCCAAAAATGATATTTGTTGTATGATTCAAACTCCCAAATATTAAGAAAATATTACATTTATTGGATAAATTGGATAAATGGTAGCCTGCTCTTGTGATCAACATCTTGTTAATTGGAATGCAAATATTGGAGTTAAGTAGAACACGTATCAAGAAATTAGGGAAGGAACATATAAGGACACATGGAAAATGAAGACAGCAGATCCGGACTCGTCAGATCAAGCTAAAGCAAAGTCTTCTCTCTTTTTTTTTCCCTTATAAATTTCAGATTGAAATATTACTTACGTATCTATCATGGGCAGCAGATTTTGATATTATGCAATTCTAAATTTCAATTCAAGGACATCTGGTAAATAAATAAAAAAACACAGAGTAACCAGGAGCATTTCCGACGACCAAACGGTAACAAAAGAATGTAATTTTTTAATTTTATTTTTTATGGGAGACACCGTTAACAACTCTGAAATATTCGTCAGAACCAGATGATGTCCTTTCATGTCAACTCTCACTCAATTGTTATAACTGTTTTTATGCTTATGACATGTTTACTAATCCGTAATTGGATTAGGAGGAATTGAATTGAAGATGAATTAAATTGAGGATGAGTTGAATTGAGGAGAATTAGATTCCGGATTCCTATTGAAGTTGTTTACTAAACCATATGGATTGAGGGGAGTTAATTTCCGGATTCTTATTGAAGTTGTGTACTAAACCATATGGAATTGGGGTATGAGTGGTACTAATTACTAAAATGTTCTCGTTGTTTGATTAAAGTAGATGGAAAATTTGGAATTTTGAAAATGTGTGAGGATATAATGGGTAAAAAAGATGAATTTCTAATGGGTTAGTTCTCCAGGAATTAGAATATCACCTCTCACCCAAGAATTGAACTCCTCCAAAATCAGGAATTCAATTCCTAATTTTGTGTGGCCCAACTTACTTTTCAATTCCTTGATGTGAAGTAAACGCAGGAATCCTCCACAGGTGGAATTCAATTCTTGATGAGAATTTCAATTCCTGATTAGTAAACACACCATTAGTTATAAGTTTTGTGGCCAGATTCATTTTGAAATGCGATGTGGTGCTTTATGAGATGCAAAGAACAAGCATTTTTCTTCTAGCAAATTCCGACAAGTAAGAGGGAAGGATGTAGAAATGTAAATGTTAGGGTGATTGAGCGGCCAAATAGTTTAAAATCACGCCAAACTTTAGTAAGTTTTGTAAAAGTAACTTTTTGGATACCATCAAACTTTTAAATCTTTTAACTACTTTTTACAAGTCACAATTGAATATCATTATACTTTTATAAACTCTTTAAAAATCTAAATTGAATACCTCCTAACTTTTAAACTATACACCCCCCTTAATGAGAGAAGGAAATTAAAATGATGGATAATTTTTTTTAATTATAAAATTTAGAAACATTCATGACAACTTTAAGTGTTGATTCCAATGTAAATTAATACTTTATAAAATCAATATTAATTATCATATTCAATCTTAATCATCCAATCTCTTTAAATCCAATGGTTAATAAGGTGTGTTATAGCCCCCTCTTTCCCAAAAAACCCTTCTAGAGCCGTTTTCACTTTGAGGGGGGAGGAAGCCATTGTTCTTCCTCTCCTCTCCCCCCCTTCTCTTCCTCCCTCTCTTTCTCCCCTCATTTTCAGAGACAAAAGGTTTTCTTTACTTGTCTTCGTTTTGTTATGATTTTCCTCCAACCATCATAGGCGACGGCGTCTCAGCGGTGGATCTCCACCTGAGTTTCGACATCGGATCTCCATCGGCATTTCGGCATCGGATCTCCATCTGTGTTTCGGCGACGGATCTCCACCACCATCTTTTTTGCGGTTTTATGTTCGAAATAAGTCACAGAGACTCTGGGTTCTCTGTGTAGTTTTCACCTCTCCTTTTGTGAGAGCTTTTCACCTATCCTTTGTGAGAGCTTTTTATCTCTCCTTTGTGAGAGTTTTATTTGTATTGTTATGGCTTGGTTTTTTCAAGCTTTATCTATTTTTGATTATTCTGAGTTTGCAATTTTAGTTGGGATGCCTATGCCAGAGTTTATTCAATCCTGCGTGATCGTTAGTGGAGGCGCACCAGATTGTCTTAATTTTGACGTTAGACCGCTCCATTATTGCAATCACCCTTTGTGGCTAGTTTGTTTTGGCCCCTTGTGGCTAATGGTTTGTTTGTCTGAATTATGAATGCAATCCTAGAATTTCTCAAAAATAAGGTGTGTTATAATGTGTGCCAAAAATGTGTGTTCTCCGATCCTGATCCTAAGAAAATATTATATTTATTGCATAAATAATAGTTTGTTCTTGAGATCTACATCTTATTAATTGGAATGCATATATTGGAGTTAAGTCGATGAGCACGTATCAAGAAATTAGAAAAGGAATATACAAGAAGGAGAAGAAAAATGGAGAGAACAGACCTGGACTCGTCACATCAAGCGAAGAAAATAAGCCATGCAAGGTAGCAAATTTATGTTTAACATATGGGCACATTTTGCACATTTTGCAGTTGCGATTCAATTATTTGAAATCGTGTACCACATAGGCAATCCCACATCAAATGGGTTTGACTTATTGTGTCCATAATTAATAATATTTGATTGGGCAATATAATCCCAAAAGATTTAGTAGATTTACTTGGAATATTTACTAATAAAAGTGATTAAATTAAGAGCAATGTCAAAACGATCACGTATGATTATTGACATATAATCCTTTACGCCATTTTTATCTAATAAAGGAAGGCACACAAGTACAGGTTCTCCCTGTCCCATTTTATTGATACCAACTTCAACTTGGCTGCTATGACAATGAGAGCAATGCATCAATAAAAGTCGACCAAAAATAGTCAGAATATACCAGAAAGAAAGAAAGAAAAAATGTAATATTTCATTTAGAAATGTGCATTGGCTACAAGATCCCCTTGGAATATTACAAGAAGGAGAAGAAAAATGGAGAGAGCAAATTTGGAGATGTCACATCAAGCGAAGAAAATAAGCCATGCAAGGTAGCAAATTTATGTTTAACATATGGGCACATTTTGGTGACAAACCCTGCGATTCAATTATTTGAAATCCGGGACCACATAGGCAATCCCATATCAAATGGGTTTGGTTTATTGTGTCCATAATTAATAAAATTTGGATACCAACTTAAACTTGGCTTCTATGACAATGAGAGCAATGCATCAGTAAAAGTCGACCAAAAATAGTCAAAATATACCAGAATGAAAGAAGAAGAAAAATGTAATGTTTCATTTAGAAATATGCATTGGCTACAAGATCCCCATGGACCACGACTAAAAATTGAGGCAAAAGCCAACACAATTCATCCGTTCCTACTTTAACAGCCCACAGATACTTTACATGTGAGGCTAGAAAAGATTTACAGAAAGGACCATATACTTGAAACTCAAATGCTTTCTTTCTAGAAATTTTGAATATGTCCTCCATTCTAGCGATATGCTCATACACTTGAAACTCAAATGCTTCACGCAATAACAAATACTCATCATTTTTTATTGTTAAAGAATCATTCTCAAAACACCAATGGGGTCTAACTCAGTTAAAAATGACCTTGATTTGCATATTAATAGTCTCAGGTTCGAAAAAAAAATCATTCTCAAAACAAAATCTCATGTAATTACTAAATCAAGCCAATTTTTGGATCAAACCAAAGAAAAATTAAAAAAAATTCAATCGGATAATAGTTCCAAAACCCATTGATATTGCTGTGCTGTGAAAGTAATCATTGTCAGATTTGCTGTGAGAGAAATCACCTGTGAGAGAAAGTAGTTTGGGTGTTTGGTAAATTTTTTTTATAAGTTCTGTTTGTACAATAATCAATTTCTGAGTGTTTGGTATTTTTTTTTGGTGAACGTGCTGTGAGCTGTGTATAATGACTAAAAAGGGCATTATGTTGAATTGGCTTTTTTGTTCAAGTGTTTGGTAAAAGGAAAAGCACTTTCACTTTATCTTTTCTATTTTTTTTCCTTTTTTTGGTATTAAATATGTTTCCATCACACCCTAAATTTTATTTTAATTATAAAATAAATAAAGTTTCCATTAAAAATAAATATATTGTCAATAATATGGTCATAACAAAAATATATCAAAGGAGAAACAAAAGTTCAACCAACCAAACTCATGACCATTCAAGAATGTACAAGATTTTCAATCAAAGCTACTAGATACAATAACAACTAAAGTTTTTAGGCAACAGAAGGTAGTAAACGAAAACCCAGATAATGATT